ATTTCTCTAGCCATTAAATAGCTAGCCAATGTCTTTTTATGGACACATTTTGTAACCGAGATGACATGAACTTATTTGACTAGTAAACACAGGTAGAATCAAATTATGTCTGCATTATGTCAATATTTAACACACCTACTTTGATCAGACCAACAAACTTAAGATAGCTCTTGATTTATCCCAGATCATGTGAATTTGAAAAATATTTGGGTTAAGTTTCTGTATTTCTGAGTTTTAGAATACTTCATTTGATAATCATTTTTCTTTAAGCCAATTAGATGCATTTTTTACAAACTGATTATACAGTACCAGTCAGAGGCAGAAACACATTACAAACCTGCCGTGTACATACACAAACATACAGACAGATGCAGAGGTCGGGAAGCTTTGGTCTTAAAGTTTTGGCCATGAGACAGGTACAGTAAAGCAGAACTTACTAGTTTATAGAAGAACTGTTTTATCCAAATCCTGTTTCTGGACACTGGAGTAAGTTAAACTTACATGATCAAAATGGGAGTTCCCTCAAGGGCTTTTCTTTCTTAGATTCAGATCTTTTACAGTGTCCGCAAGCCTTCTGAAGTGAATGGAGTATGCTTGGGGACTGAGAAAAAGAATAGGTGGCCTTTGATTTGCTTCTAAACCTGCATTTCTGTTCTTGTAAAGACTAGGTTTATAAGACAAGGACAGGTTACAATGTGAATGACATCACAGGCTGTCCCACGCCTCCAACTATATCATCTTCTGTTTGCTTCTTTAGATCAGGGAGAAGATTGACTAAGATGGAATTCAAAAGATTCCTATGCTCCAGATTTAGAGCTTTGTCTTTGGAATGTTTTTCTTTCCCTCTGGGTACACAGTTTCATTTTGACTTAGGAACTTTATCCCCGATAGGCTCTGAATATCAGCTTCCAGTTTGGCCAACTTCTGACCACAGAGCCACTTAAACAACCTTTTAAATATCTTGTCAGGAGGACAAACAGTAAATATTCCTGGCCATATTGAAAGACCTCACGGACGCAAGACGCATTCCCAAAGAGGGTGCCAAGGATACCACCCTCCCAGATCCAGAGCCACTCCCATAACCAAAAGGGAAGACTCAGTTCCCCCTGAGGGCTGGCACCCATCAGGCAGAACCTCAGCTACAAACGGGTGCAATTTACATTTCTGTGCTGTTTGCCCAACCTGACGTTCACCAAGTTCTCAGGACACAAAACAAGACAGACAAGAAGGCAACAATAGCCCGAGAGAGAAAAGATCAACCAGTGTGTCTGGATTTGGAAAGGAAGGGATGTGAAAGTTTACCTTTCTCTCTCAGCTGGCCATGGTAGGCAGATTCAGAACTGACTCTGGTCAGAATGCTCACCCTGGCTGGTGTCTGCTGGATTGACCAGGATCCCATCTGTAGGCTCTGTAACAAGTTGGGGTTTAGAGAATGCAGCTTCACTAGCTACCGAGATTCAGCAAGGTTTTCCATTAATTTTTTTTATTAGTTTCCCCTTGGCTGTGGAAGGGAACAACTGGAAGCAGTTACAGGAGAATCCCATGGAGTCCTGTTGACCCTGGGAGAGCCCAGGGCAGGAGGGCGAGAGGTGTCCTCCTTTGGGGATGGATTTAGGGGTGTCTGTACAACCACTAACTTGACAGGCCTTTTGTTAGTCATGCAGTCTCTTCAAAGTGGAGAGACGATGCAGACAGAGGACAAGCAGAATGAATCCAGGACAGAGGGGAGCAGGAGGAGTTCAAGTTTTACCCTTATTTTAGGTATCTCTTGTGTCTTTAAGTTTTTTATTAGCCTTTTGCAGTGAGTCTCAGTGAAGCTATTAGAGAATTTTGAAGCCTTCTGCAAGCTTCATCATACTGACTAAACTAGGCATCCCACTCCATTTGTTTGATGTGGACTTCTGAAGTGAACAATCCCTTCTGGTGGCCACCGTTATTCTAGTTTGTCTTCAGTAAGAGCAGTCCATGTGCAAGTGAAGAGACCACAATGTTTTTTAACATAAAACTGCTGGGGGTAGTTCTAAGGTGGTGGGGGGGGGGGGGCACTCTTAAAACCTTTAGGTGACTGGGATCCCATTTGTGGAGTTTTTCCTAGAGCAGAGAAAATCCTCAACAGCCTCAGGGCTAAACTGAGGGCCAGGACTCCGGTCTGACAGTCTGCCTCTCACAGGATACTTCCTTTTCCTGGTGGACGGCCAGTGCCCTGTATGTCAAGACCTCCAACCAGGGCTTCCTCATTACACTCAATTTTCTTGCAGGTGGCCAGTGACCTTGTGCCCCTTCTGGGCCATGACCACGTTTTCCTACCTGGGAGCCTGGGCTCTAGAGATGGTTGTCTCTCATCAGGTGCTCGACCCATGCCCTCCAATTTTTGTTTTAATTTTGCTCTCAGGAAAACTACATGTTTAAATGTAAACCAAGTGCACTCTAATTCAGAAACTAATAAAGTACTCACCAGAAGGACAGTCTGTCTTTATCCAAATCCGGAATAAAGCTGGAGAGAACTCAAAACAGGAATCTTGGACTGTGAAGTCCTCTTGGGATCCCAAGGCTGTCACCGCTGTTAAAAAAAAAAAATCTTGTTGGCTTCATTCATTTAAGCTGCAACCCAATTCCTTGTGGAATTAGAAACAGTCCTGTCTTACAAACCTAGTCTCTACAAGAACAGAAATGCAGTTCTAGAAGCCATTCAAAGCAAACCCTCTTCATCTCAAAAGGGGGGATGTGCAGACACTGTAAAAGACCTGGATTTAGGAAAGGTAAGTCCTTCTTGGAGGAACTCCCATTCTTTTCCGGTGCCTTTGAGATGGGGATGTTCCACCTGGTCTCCTCCAGGAACTCTAACCCAGGCCAGCTCTTAGAAACTTCAGGGAAGAGGAAGTAGACAGCCTGGACTGAGAAAGCCATTTGTCCACACTCAGTCACTTGCCCATCTCTGACCAGTGACTGGGGTTAGAGGACTCCAGTGGTCCCCCTGGGCACACTGGTGGGCAAACACCAGCAGGTCAACACAGAGAGAGAGAGAGATTGCCCCCCCCAGTAAACAACGTATGTGCACATGGGGTCCAACCACCTCCTGCCACGGAAAGTCTCTCAGTCCCTCAGGCATAATGGGAAGGTCATTTGTGTCAGGAGGAGAGTGTGCAGGGTGGGTGTGATGGAGTCAGCCACTTATCACCTGAAGACAGTGATGATGGCCATGGCCAGTTACAGAATTGAGGACCTTGATGTCACTTTGCTTCTGAAGCCACCTTTCAGCATATTAACCCCAGCATACATTTCAGGGGATCCAGGCACAGGACTCTCTTTAAAGGCTACAGTATGCTCCCAGAGCCTTGGGTCTTGCCGCGTTGATGGATTTTTTTAAAAAGCCAGATGAGAAACGTTCACAAAATCCAGAATGCCTTCATCGCCTTGTTCCTATAAAAATGAAAACAAATCAAACAGAAAAATGGTGATAATGGCTTATTCTCAGTCATAAACTGGGACACGACGTTGTGTGTAAGATGCTCTTAAACCCACTGTTGTCTGCATCTCCTCCTGCCCCAGCACTGGTCATGGAAAGGGTCAGCAGCAGGCAAGGGGACAGATCCCCTTCTGACATTTATTCTGTTTCCAGACAGGTGTTTCTACCCCCAGCAGCATGCGCTCTGGGAGGTCAAACTCAAAAATTCCAGCCTGAACAGCACCCAGATCTACTAACCGAGACACACCAACCAGTGTCACTCACAGGAATGGTACTCAGAACTGAAGGCTGAGGTTAGATGCCTGCAGGTTTGGAATCAGCACAAGTGAACTCTCTGGAGTTACTAGGAGAAGCTCAGCACAAAGGAAGAACACACAAGGTGGCCCAGGCCATGCTGCCCACGGCTGCTTCCGTACAAGGCGCGGAGGTCAGCTGTCCCCACGTCGGGGCCTGCGGGCAGGACAGGGAGAGGAGGGCAGGAACCCTCTCCTCAGGGGACATGGCTGCTTTTTTGAACCAGCCTCCTGGGCAAATTCAGGCCTGTGTTCACTGAGATGAGGTGTGATCTTCATCTTGCCCTGGAAGAGCTAGCTCAGGATGAGTGCAGAGGGACTGTTTTTCCAAGGAATGGTGCTGAGTAATGATTCTGGGCTTTGACATAGCCCTGTGATGGCCTCTTGATACATAACAACTACAGCTGATCCTGAACACCACAGGCATGAACTGCACAGGTCCACTTATACTCAGATATTTTTTCCAGTAAATACACAGTCAGCCAGCCCTCCATATCTGCTGAGGAGGAACTGCAGATATGAAGGGCTCACCGTCCTTACGTCAGGGACTGAAGCAGCTTTGGACTTTGGCATCCAGGGGGCTCCTGGACCCAATCCCCTCCACATAGCCACGGATGACCATACCTCCACCCAACCTACATCATGACACACACCTGAAAATCTTCTTTAACGTCCTTTCTATACACTTTCCTATATATTTTCAATACTTTTTTGGTTGTCACACAATACATGTTATCAAGTAAACAGCATTTAAGACTCCATTCAAAAATATCACCTCAGTTTCACTACAGGGAAACCTACCACTTCGAATGTGCTTCCAGGACAGAATAAAAATCTAGTAAACTTAGGTATGTCTGGGGTCTGAGGGAGGACGAACCAAGCAACTATTCCGAGAAGAAAAGAATCCTAAGGACTCCAGCCAGAGGGGTTCTAGGCCTTGGCTGCGGAGAGTCAGTCACCTGGGGGCTTTAAAAGCGCCTGACACACAAGCACACCCCAGACCATTAAGCTAGCCGGGCCCTGACAGGAGTGTTTGGAAGGTTCCCGGGGGACTCCCACGTGCACCTGAGCGTGAGGACTGCTGCTTCCTCTCCCTCCACAGATGGTCAAGGATGTTTCTAGTCCCCGAGAGTCTGCTGCACACAGCAGTGTCCCAGGCCCTGTGAACACGTCCTTCTGAATGCAGGCTGCGAAGTGTCATTCCCCACTAATGGTCTCCTCTCCTCCTTGGGTCCCTGCAGGAGCTACGGTGACAGCTGTTTCCTGGACTCTTCCCTCTATCCAGAACTAGCTGATGTCCAGTGGTACGGGCAGGAAAAAGCCAAGCCCGGGACCCTTGTATGAGCCCGCCGGCCTCCACCTGACCGCCTCGCCGCCATTCTGAGATCACCTCACTGCCTCTCATTTGCCTTACCCAGACGCACTGTCTCCCTGCACCAGCTTCAGCCCTCAGCACTTTTTTTCTCCCATCTCCGCAACCCCTCACCCTCAAAAAACCTGACTGAGGAGACATTCTGGAAGGTTCCGGTCCCACTGTGTGTCCCCTGGCTCCCTTGCCCAGAGAGCCAGGCACCAGTCCTCAATGGCATCTTGGTGCCCCCCACCCCTCCGTGACAGCCCCTGGGCCAGGAACCGGCGGGGAAGCTGGTTGGCATGGATTCCTGTGGACCAGTGGCACTGGGGAGGCCAGGGAAGGGACTTAGTACAGGGTGATCCAGAAAGACTAGGGAAGCGGAGGCCCACCCGCCACCTGAAGGCCATCCCCGCATGTTGTGAAGAGGCTGCCTCGGGGAATATTCAGCTGAAATATTTCCTAGGAGGAGTGGCTATTGGGGGAGGGGGAGAACGGAAACAGGAAGCTGAACACGTCAGAGATGCATCTGAGGATCACAATCAGTTCTACGCTGCCAAAGATTTTAAAACACACACACACACACACAAAATAAGAGGGCCCAAGAGGAAGACATTCCTTCTGCAATGAAATCTCTTAAATCCTCAACTGCGACCACATACCACACGTGGAAGTCGACCATCTGTGACGTGTCCCCCTCTGTAATCCTTCCCTGGACATTCACCTCCCTCTCCCGAGAGCCTAAAAACTCACCCAAGGTGATGGGCAAGTCGGACAGCCCCAGCTAGCATTGCTGACTTGGATCTCCACAAACCTGGACGCGAAGGAGAACAGCCCCATGGCGGGCAACAGAGAGTTCGCTCAGCCCCGGCCTGCATGGGGGTTCAGTCCGAGACAGAGCTGCTTTCCTCTGGGGATCTGTAGGAAGCGTAAGGGATGGTCGCCAAAAGTGGTTCTCTCTCATTAAAACAACCAGTAAAAGCATATCCTATTTTTTCGCACAAGGTGTTTCATTTGATTTTTTACGGGAAGCCAAGGGAAAAAAGCACATTACAATCCATTAAAGTATTTACTTGTCATGGCCCATTTTCTGTTTGTTAGCACTTGTGTGACAAAGAGCTCAGATCCGACGTCTCTCAGCACCCGGTGACCAATGTGCCACTTCTTCCAAGAACCCAACTACACCCTTAGATAGGAAGACTGTACTCACGTGTCTACAAGCCGGCAGGCAGAGCAGGGTTGAAAAAATATATCAGCTCCCAGAGGGCCCAGATGCCTGTGACACCATCAGCTACCTTGCTGTATCACGTTGGTCTGCAGGTACCAAAAAAAGAAGAGAGAAAACAGGTGTGTGGGAGCTGCCCGTTTACATGTGTGTTGAGCTATGCTCAATACACAACTGGAAAGCCATCCGTTTCTTCAAAGGCCTCAAAATACTTTTCTAATACTAACAAGTGCACACTCTTGAGTTGGCTTGTTTCAAATGGCACAAACACAGTCTCCACAGAGATGGGACGCTGTGCTTACCTGGCGCAAGTAGGGGGGAGGTGTGGGGGGGATTAATTTTTTTCTCACTTATGACTCTTCCTATTGGAAAGGCAGTGGACAGCCAGATAGGAGCTGGGTTGGCTATAGATTTGTGGGTAAGCAGAACTGAAGCTAGCTTTAGCGTAAAAAGAAAAGTTTTTTTTTTTTTAATGTATATGTAATCCAAGAATAACAATAGACTTTACCAGACCAGGAGGGTAGGCATGGATACTTACCAGTGGTTAAAAAGCAACAGCCACGGTTTCCCCCACTGCAGGGTGTTTCCCCCACTGCAACTCAGAAAGCACTGTGGGACTCCTCTGGGGCACAGAGCAGGATGGGGCCAGTCGGGACAGTTCAGGGCCTGGCTCCCTGGCTGCGTTGGTAATAACAGCTTGCAGAAGGGAGTAATATTCACAGAACACTCTGGGGGTAGACCCTGCAGGGTAAATAAAATTGATGATAATGTTATTAAAGGATTCTGGGGATTGACATGGGGGGGAGGGGTGTTGCTCTTACTTTGACAGTCAAGAGTTAACAAACAGCAAGTTTTTTCCCTTCCCATTTGGAAACAAGTCTCTATGAGGCCAGATTCTTTCTCCCAAAAGAAGATGCACAAATAATCAAACTGAACTCTGTGCCAGAGTTAAAAGGGAACTAGAGGAGGTCACAAGCTTATATGGCTACAGGGCATACAACATGGACAGTAGTTTGAAATCAAGTTGGAAGTCAGCTCGATCAAGTTTTTAATCCAGTTGGGTTACAAGGAATGACAGACAAAAATTCTGTCTCAACACGTGGGTTTGGGATTCAGGAGACAGAAAGGAGTGGAGGTGGGGGAGGGGGGTGGAATTACAGTTCAGACAAACATCCTGATAGTCTGGTAGCAAAGACGGAGATTAAGTAAAACAGGTTTTACTGTTGAGCTGCATTCATGTTCCTACAAGATGTACATAAAGTGTTGGTCCTGTGAGACTGACATGATTAATGGTCCGTGTGGTGGGAAGTGATAATAGTTACTGTACACAGCACTGGCAAGCTCTTTGTATTTCCCTGTTTCTTTAAAGCATCTTAAATACGAAACCCCGGTCTGATAGAAAGTCCCCATTGGATTCCTTGGATACGTGTAAGAAACTGCCTGTTTAGCCAGAAGCCTGGTGAAAACACCTCCATCAGACTTTGTTGTGAGACAGGTGGGTTTTTTAATTTTCTTATATGCAGGTGAGTGTCGAAACTGTTCAAATTCCACTTTGTTTTCATTCAGTATTAGTTTAGTTCATAGAGCAAACCCCATCCAGGTGCTATCAGATGACCAGTTACTGCTTAATTAACTAGGTGTAAAGTTTTACATATACATTCATGTCAATAGTTTATTACAAGTTGTGTAAAACGGACTCTAGTTTAATAATGGGGAGGAAAGGATTAGGTTGCTCCTGAAACTGACTTGTAGAGCATGTAAGATGATTTTACTGGATTCTGTTCAACTGTAATCAATGACAAAGATGTATGTTGTAGACAAAGTTGCAGAATTAAAAAGAAATCTGCTTTTAATTTATTCTTTTTGTATTAAGAATTTGTATAGTACCTTTACATTTTGCAAAACAGTGTTGTCAACACTTATTAAAGCATTTTCAAAATGAAAAGATCCTAGCTGCCTCTTGGACATTCTGTTTGTGTCTAACTGATCAATGCCTACGCACACTTCGGGGAGCTTTAATTCGGTTGCCTGTGTCCTCGTCGGGCTCCTTTTTCTGACAGGCCAACTGAGGAGACAGGCAGGCAGCTTAGACTTTCCTACCACTGCTGTTCATCGTACCACGGCTCAGACTCCATCCCCCACCTTCCAAATCCTGTCACCAAAGCAACAGCCCACTGGGCCCGCAGGCACAAAGCCGTGCCCTGAGAGACACAGCCTTTGCTGCCATGGCACCCCCCCCCCGGCCCCCTAACCCACACTGCACCTCCTCGCTAGCACAGGACTAGAAATCTGACAGGCACGAGCACCCCAGGACGGAGAGCCCGGCTGAAGCATCTGCCGCCAGTGCGGGCTAACCCTCCCAAAAAGGGAAACAAGCCACTGAGAACGGACTCAAAGCATGTCTGGAAGCAAGCCCATCAGGACAGCATCTTACACCGAAGCCTGTCTGTCCTTGGCAAAGCTACCAGGGCCTCCTCTCAAAAGATAATCAACACTGACTTCAAACAAATAGGATCTTCTGTTAATAAGTCTTTTACATGTAAACATGTTGCTGCTCAGGAAATAAATCTACCGTCTCCTATTAAGCTCTATCACCTGAAAGCAACCAACCCACAGGAAGATGGAACTTCCCCATTTCTCACACACACACACATACGCACTGCCCTTACGTTGTGACAAGGCAATTCCAAAAAGTCATTATTTTGGTTACTAGAGAACACAAAGTAAATAGCTGGTTCCTGTAGAAAGCATTAAAAATAGCCAGGTCTTATTCCCAAAATACCAGTTCAAACAAGCTCAGACATGAAACTCCTCTAAGAAGAGGAATGTCAGAGAAGCCCTGATGGGGGTCAGCCAGCAGGCCTTGGCCACAGCTGAAGTCAGCCTCTCACTGCAGGTTCTGCAGTGGTCCCAGGTCCTCTGCATCTAACGGAAGAGGGTAAAATGAGCCCGGTGGATAGGAGGTAAGCGAGTGTGTCAGCGGGATCCCTCCGGGATCTCTCGTTCAAGAGGCTGCCTGGTGAGACAGTACAGACAAGCTGACTGGACAGAGGCACGACCTCTCTGCCTTGCACAGAGCCCCGCTCCCGGCACAGTCAGTATCTGTCCAGGTAAGAGCTGAAGGGCCTGTAGTGCAATTCAGGAGGATGAACCTGCGGTTCAGCAGGTCAGCTGATAAGGCTCACACATGTGCAGTTGTACCAAAATCTTTTTTCATCAGAAACCCACTTACCTCTCCATAAATCTTTATCCCCATAAACAAGTAGTTTCCTTTTTTCACCCATTCATCCTATTTTCCATGAAAGCCTTTCTAATAATGCTTCCCTTCCTCCCACTCTACCAAAACCCCTCAAGGTCAAGGATGACTCCCCACATGACCAGATGCAAGGGTTAATTCTCTGTTCACGTGTTAGCATTGGGCAGCATTGGGCATGGCTGACCCCTCTTGCTTCCTTCATGGAAAGACTCTTGTCACTTGAACCCAGGACAGGACATCCTCTGGTTTTTCCTCCTTATCACGGTCAGGGCTCCTCCTGCCCAGCTCCTTGATGTTTACTCCGTCTCCCCGAGGTCTACGCACTAGAGTGTCCCAGAGCTCAGATCAAGCTTTACCATGCAGTCACTTCCCGTAGTTCTCATCATGTCCATGGTTTAAAATGTCATCTGTGTGCTAAGGACATCTGTACTACTCACTGGACCTCCTCTCTGAACCTTGTATATCCTGCAGCCCACTCAACAGCTCCACACGAATGTCTAATGTGCTAACACGTCTAGAAGCGAATTTCTGAGCTGCCCTCCAAATCCACTCCATCAGTGACCTCGCTCAGTCGAGTTAGAGGCACCTCCAGTCTCCCAGCACTCAGGCCCAAATCCTTGGACTCACCCATGAGGACCTCCTGTCCTTGTCGCATCTGCAGCCAACCAAGTGGATGTGAAATCCCTGCCCTTGTTCTCGAGAGTGGAGGGAGAGAGATAATAAATTATATAACACATTAGAAGGCTGGAAGAAAGTAATGTTGGTCAGTGGAAGATTCAGCCTATGACAGGTGGGGATCCACCTTTCCTCCAAGTAAGGTACGGAGAGCTGGTGAGTGTGGAGGCAGCGGCAGACCTTAGGCCTGCGTCCGTCTGTGAGGGAAACTAGGGGGGGCCACCTACCAGGTGACAAGGGAAGGACGAGGATCGGGAAGCAGCAGTCATGGGGGAGAACAGTCCTGAGAGGAGAGGAGGCAGGGCGCGAGCGCCCGCGGACTCTGGACACGGGATGGGACTCCCCTCCAGCGGCACCGCGGGGGGCTGGGGCTGTCGGGATGAGCCAGGCCCGGGTGGTGTGGGGCCGTGCGACCGGAGGACAACAGGCGGAGAGAGAAGACGGCCCTGGGGAGAAACTGGAGTGATGATGATGGACTCCAGATGGATTACAGAGAAAAGCAAAGCCAGGAAGATGCCAAGGAAGCAGAAGGAAGCAGAGAAACGAATGGAGAGAAGGTGTTGGAGAGACTGAGGCAGAGCAGAGAGGGAGTTAAAGGGAGGGCACGAGGACAGGACTTCACGGCCAGACAGGAGGGAAAACGCCAGTTTCCCCGGCATCTGGGTTCTCCACACTTGGGGTGGGCCCCACGATCCGGGAGCAAAGTCCACGTGTGCAGGAGGGAAGCCACCCTGAGCTGCAGGCGGGGGGAAGGGGGCCCACCACACCTCCCCTCAAATCTGGCTGCCTGCTCAATCCGGGGGCCAAGCACATCAATTATTTTAACAGAAAGCGTGTAACGGAAAGGACTGTTAACCAGAGAGTGAGGAGATGACAGGAAAGGGGGGACCCTGAGGTATCAGAGAGACGAGAACCACAGGAAGAGCCACTGGTCTCAGGGCTGGAAACAGAGACTAGGGACTCTGAAGAAAGACTTAGAGGTTTGAGGAGCTGGGAACCAAACCTCTGAGCCCTGGACGCTGCTTAGGTGGTTCGGGTGCCTCGGGAACTTGGTGGGACCCCACAGAGCCAGGATTCAAATGTCTGGGGAGAAGCACTGGCTGATGCTGCTGCAACGGTTCTACAAAAGCATGGAAAACCTGAGAGCGGGGACCACCGCCTCCAGGAACGCTGAGTGTCACCATGGGCTGCAGGCCTGCGGCTGGGCCACCACCACGGGGGACAGGTAGTGAACATGAAGGAACAGGGCCTGCCTCCCTCCTCGGGGCTCCTGTCTCCCACGTGGCCCATGATCGGTAGAAGCCAACACAAAGCCAGTCGCAGAGGAGAAACGTGGTCTGCAGAGCCTCATCCCAAAGCAGGGTGTGGCAAGTGCCAGGGAGAGGCTGTCAGCCAAAAAGCAATTTTCTATAAAGGACAAAACCATACATACCTTTTTGGCTCAAGTTTGTGTAATTTCAGTTACTGCTCTAGAAGGAATAGTGGTAGTTAGCAAGTCAAAGCATACCAAGACACTTTCTCCCTGAATGACAGAATCACAAGTGTACGTTTTCTCAAGTATCTTTCACACCCACAGAGGTATTCGGAATTTATTCCTCTCAAAGTCACTCCTAAGCCTAGTGGAAATTTGGGAGTAACTCAGAGAGGAACAAAAGCTCGATGCCTCTGTCCCAGAGAGTGACATGAATCTCTACCACAGGTTGACCTCTGTCTGCTCTACAACCTGGCTGTCTATGGACTTCCATTAACACTCACTGGATTCGGGTTTCCTGCAGCTGAAACAACCTGGTGCCAATATCCAGAGAGCTCATTCAGGTGAATGCTGAAATACTTAACATGTATCTTATGAGAATGTGGCAAATATGAAAACCAAGTCTTAATGAAATTGCAATCTAATAGAATTACAAAGTTTAACAATAATACAAAAACACATTATTTCTCTCCTCTCAAATCCCATACACAGGCACTGCGCTATGCAAAGATTATATCATTTAGGATTCACATGATTTTTTATAAAATCTATCTGGCAAAGATAGCTGACAAAGGTTATGTCAATATCTGAGTTAGTGATAAGATTATTTCCCCTATGCATAGAAATGGAGATGGGAATGGCAACCCACTGCAGTATTCTTGCCTGGTGAATCCCATGGACAGACAAGCCTGGAGGGCTACAGTCCATGGGGTCACACAGAGTCAGACATGACTGAGCTACTAACACCACGCATAGAAAACCTAACATAAAGTCAAGCCACAGAGCATAACGTACATTGAACATAGGGCTCGGCCAGAATATATAAGGACCTATGTTAAGTCAGTAAGAAAAAGGCCAGGAATTCAGTAGAAAAAAGTGACAAAAGTAAAATCTTGAACAGAAACTTCACAAAAGTTAAAATCCAAATGGCCATGAAGTACATATGAAAAATGTTCCACTTAATTTTCCTCAGCAAAACACAAACTAAAACCACAACATGGCACCATGTTAACCCGTCAGAAGAGCCGAAGTGAAGATGGCCGAGGACATTCCAGGAGGGGCCTAAACCCCTCAAGTCTCGCATGTGGCACTGTGGACTGGCACGAGCTCTTCGGAAAACTCTGTGGCACTACCTTCTGAGTACACACATACCCAACCATTTCTCAACTTCATGTACACCCTGGAGAAATTTATAATTCACCAAAAAATACATGTACAGCATTCATACCCAAAGTGGAGACAACTCAAATGCCAATCAAATGTAGAACAGGACAGAGAAATGAGAATCAAATCACAATAAGGGACTTCCCTGGTGGGCCAGTGGCTAAGAAGCTGCAGGGGGCCTAGGTTCAAAACCCTGTCAGGGAACTAGATCCCACCTGCTGCAACTAAGAAGATCGAAGATCCTCCCTGCCACAGCTAAGACCTGGTGCAGTCAAATAAACAAATAACAACAAGCAAACTAACTCACATGGGGAATGACTGCTAATGGGTCCCGGGTTTCTTTCGGGGTGATGAAAATGTTCTACATTTACATGTGCCGCTGGCTGCAGAATTCTGAATGTTCTAAAGACTACTGTACCCTTTGAGTGGGTGAATCTTACAGTACATGCATCCAATATCAAGAAAGATGTTTTTTTAAGTGATGACAGCAGAAATCAAGGCCATGGCTTTGTCCTGATGAGGCATGAAGAGATTTCTGGGGCACTAATAACATTATCTTCCCTGACTTGGATGATAGTTACTTTGAGAGAGTTTCACTCTGAAAAAGTTGTATGATATGGTATCTTTCTGATGTGTGCACTTTGCTGTATATGTTACAATTGAATAAAACTTTACAATGAAGGAAATGTAATCTAGCTGCGAGTCTTGGGAAATAATCTTCGAAGGGCTAAACAAACTCTCAACAGGTAACTGATTAACAAGACTAGATTCCTGCTCTCTCTCTCTGCCTCAACCCTAACTCATAGTTTAAACAATCTCATATCTTATAATATCTTTGTTTATTCTTGCTTTACACAATGTATAGCCAGCCCAAGGTAGTCATCTATTCTTACCTTCAATTTTCTTACATGAGGCCTGTCCTGGAGGTTCTCTCTATGTACAAGTCACCTCATTTGAAACCTAAGAATTATTGCTTCAAAAATATTTAATTGAAGTACTCAAGGTTTTATAATATGCCAAATGCCACATAAACCTGGAGAGCTAAGTGTTTTCTATTTAAAAATAAATAAATAGAAGAAATAAAGAGTCCTTTTGCCCTAAATTCATCCACCAGGTTACTTCCTTCTGTAACTCTGGTAATTCTTTTTAATCTGTGGTTTTCAAACTGCTGGTCACAACACATTAATGAGTTGTAAGCCACTTTAGAGTCACACCTGCATATTTTTAAAAGAAACACAACAGCAAAGAAAAAATAAGAACGCACCGCTCACGGCATGGTCAGGAAATACACATGGTGATACTGGGTCCTACCTATTTGTTACAGCTGATTGTTGAGCTATGGTCAAAGCATGTCAAAGCCACAATTTTAATCCTCCCACTTTACAAGACAGCGAAACCGAAATCAGGCTCAGAGGACAACGCTAATGGTTCGTGATGCCTCCTGAGTCTCAAGGGAAGAGCAAGTTGGAGAGTAAAGGCAATTTGGTTTTGGCAAGCTGTCAACACTGGGAGTTTAGAGGGCAAGGAGAGCTGGGTGTGCGGATGACTTCTGACTGTCACGGCAGGAAGCTTGCTGAATGCCTGGGTTATCACCAGTGACACTCAAAAAGCAGCTCAAACCTTCTTAGCTGCCCTCCGTGGTCAAAGTATGTGTTCATCTTGAATGCTGGGAGAAAGCTGACAATGATTTCAAAGCGGGTGCTTAAGGACAGAGAGGAGAGACTAAACAAAAGGAAGTGGCCTACTTAAACAAGAGTAACCATTACCATCAACACAAGGATTAGTCTGAGCGAGTTCATAAGAGTTTGTGGGAAAAGGAGTAAATAATCAATGCTTTCAAAATAAACTGTTTTGGTAAATGTAAAAAAATATATATATACACACACACACACACACACACACATGTGTGTGTGTGTGTGTATTTTAAATGAGTATGTTTCCAAAATCCTAAAAGCGGTCAGTTCACACCACAGTGACAACTGCCAACCACATTGCATTCCCTCCACTTAGTCCATGCCACCAGAACTTATTTTTAAATTTCAAAAGATTTTAAGGTTACTGTTAACCATTCCAGGACAAACTAGTGCACAGTCAAAATTCAGCCCATCCAACCGCCGAGTCTGATGAAAACCAGTTGCCATAACTGTTCCCACAGCAGCCCTCTGGGACTGGGGCTGGCTCCTCACACTCTCAACAGCTGGAAACTCTTACAAAAACCTGCCAAGAGAAAGTGCTTTCGGTTCAAGCCTCCCAGTACACTCCATACCATAAATTTCTAGGGGATAAAGTTAAGGGACTTCATGGGCGAGGATGGGGAGGAAGGAGGCATGATCCACAAGGTTACGCTCTTGCAGATATTCAAAGGGTACAGCCACATCTCAACCGAAGCTCCCCTTTCACCAAATCTGCCCCATTTAGCTCTACTACGTTTCTAGGTCCAGAAGTAATAAAGGGGTTACTATAGGGCTGAAAAGGAGCTAGTAATAGGATCCACAAGTTCAAATCTACCAAACTCTTTCTTTCAAATAACTGGATTTCTACAGAATTTTCTGTTGTTGTTTAGTTGCCAAGTCATGTCCAACTCTTTTGCAATCCTGTGGATTATAGCCTGCCAGTCTCCTCTGTCCATGGGATTTTCCAGGCAAGAATGCTGGAGTGTGTTGCCATTTCCTTCTTCAGGGGATCTTCCTGACCCAAGGATAGAACCCAAGTCTCCTTCATTGCGGGCGGATTCTTTACTGCTAAGCCACTACCATATTTACTGTGGTCAAATCCCAGGACAATCTAAAGTGCTAAAGGGGGCCAGGAGATCATCAGAAGGAAAAACTTAACATTCAGAAGTTGTACTGCTTATCAACCCTATTTTCTATTCCTCCAAATTCTTTTCAGAGCCGCAGTGCATCCTAAATGCTCGTACTAGCGACAACCACCTTCCCAGCTCTGGTCTGTTGGGACCTTCCCCTTCTTCCTACAAGATCCGGGCTGCCCCCCTCTCCTCTCTATGTGTCAACTGTTTCTAGTCTCAGTTTTCTTTTCCTAGTTTTTCCCCAAGGACTGAAGTCACAGCCATGACCTCCAGACTGCCACAGCCCTATACTGTAATGCTGAAAAATACTGCTGTCTTTGCAGTTGGCAAGAACACTCCTAAGAAACACAGGATTTACTTTTGAGGGGAAACCAGTGTTTTATTAGATTTGAATCCAGAAAGACACAACTCCTTTGGAAAGGAGTCTGGGGAGGCAGGGAGGAAGAGAGAGAATATACTTATTTCAGGAGTGTGACTGATTTTAAAAGATAGGCCTTTATTGTTTTAGAAACAGCTAAAAATTAGAAACATGTAGCATCTGCTGCACTATAATTTTCATGATTTGAAGAATGAGAGAGGTCATTTTTTTTTACTAAACCCCCATGACAGGTACAGTCCTTTGAAGACCTTTAACTTCCGGGAAATAGAAAACTTCTCTACGAGGAATCTACACCTTTCAACCTGCCTCCCTGTACCCAAGCCCTAAAATGACTAACATTCACAGCACCACAGAATACCTTACACATTTTTTTTTTCCCTCAAACCATCTACCCATGCTGATCAGTTCTAGAAGGTACTGGTGTCACATGATGCAGTTTCTTCTCTGTGTGCAATATTAACTCACAGCAAATAGGAAGACAACACAAAATGAGCTGACTACCATAGTGTGGCCTGCCTATGAATTAAAAAAAAAGTGATCTGTGGAGTACTCTTTCAACAATATTTATAAATAAGTTCTATACAAGACTATATAACTGAACTCTACATTGTTGTCACATCTTATGAAAGTCTGTCTCTTATTGCTCTAGTAAGCTTCCTTCAGTTCTAATTAATTTAATAAGAAATGGTTTTCTAAAGTGGGGTGAAGGGCAAGGAACACTGATTCAATTCAGGACTGCAGGCCTCAGCCACCATCGAGCAAATAACCAGCGGACACAATCAGCCCAGCGTAGCCACAGACCTCACCAGTGGCCAAAACTGGCTTTCAGGGCTTTCCAAGAGGGACCAGAATAAGTAATTGAATCCACCTGCACTCACTTAGCTGACTCCAGGCCCCACATTCTAGGTTCTTCTAAACTCAGAAATGGCTGAAAGTGTGAGCAGCTATAGACTGTGAATACAGTAAGTGCTTAATAAATACTTCCACTAACTAGTACTGCTGACACTGCCACCAGCAGCATGGCTGTCATCATGAGGTGAGCACACACCGTCCTGACCAGTGGTTTGGGAAAGCTCCTTTGTCTTCACTCTAGCAACAACAAGAAGGACACAACTGTCATGTACATAGTTATTTGCCAGGTAGCGTGCTATACATTTATTTTACTTAAAACAAAACAGTGATGCTATGTGGCATGGACGAGGACTGCCACCATCTGCAGACAAGTAAGCTGAAGTTTAGAGAGATGAAGTGCCTTGCTCGTGGGTGTACAGACACACACATGCCTATGCTGCTGAAATCTGAGGTGAGGCAGTTCTGATGTCAGAGCCCCTCCCCTACCAGGAGCCGCCAGCACCACTCCATCTGGTCAAGTACCATTCTATTTACCCACTTGCCTCTATTCACTGAGTCCTCTCAACTTCTAAAGCACAGTGATTCATTACAGTTATCTGGCTGTGACACTGTGCAAGAGTCAAAAGAAGTCCTCGCTTGAGTGAAATCAGACCAAGCCCTACAGCTTGGGCAGTGACACGAGCCCGGCACCTTTCTCTTTGGCCAGCGGGACAGAGCAGGGCCAGTCATCCACCACGGTCTCAGGAGGACGACAGTAGCAGGCAGTCCTATTCTAGGAAGAGCCAGCAGCAGCCCTGACAATCCATTTCCTCACCTTGAAACCTTGATACCTGGGGTTACTGAATTTGAACTTCTGTTGGTTTAATATAACATCTTTATTTTCCAAACTTCTATATCCTGTTAATTCTGTTAGAGAATTAACCAATTCTCTAACCAATACTATAGATGACCAATACTATAGCTTTAAATGTATAGCTTTAAAGGATAAAAGCTTTAAAATGCAAGATAGACACTTAATAGTAAAAACATTTACATTCAAATATATTGCAAGGTGGCAAAAGTCAAGCAACATTTAAGGACGATCAAGTTTCATTAAATGGTTCCCATATTTTTGTTGAAAAATATAAAAATATTTCTCTATAAACACAACATAAAAGGCAATGTGAAAATTACTATATTTTACAGAAATCATTAAGTCCATCCTCAAATGTTCCTCTTTAATCCTCTCAGTGCAACTTTTAGGTCTAGAGGGGAAAAGTTATTTTAAACCGTGTCCTGTGACTGTTTTAAATTTACACATTTAAATTATTGGAGAAAGTCTTTAGTACTTAATTTTTTGACTACTTAAAAGTAAGACACAAAAATCACTCTGCAGTCAGGTGTGACATGAGAGCCAACACAGGTCCTTAAAACCAAGAGCTGCATTAGGTAGAACTCAGAGACCAGAAGCTCCTTTTTTCTTCTTCCCTCATTGCAACTGGTGGTAATTCCAGAAGTCCATGCCAGGCTTCCTTAAGCTTCTCTTTGATATTTACACACCGCACGCAGATCTCATAGTGCATTGTACTCCACACATTTTGATGGATCTGTAGGAAAGTGCTTCTGGCAAATGGTCATTAACCTCTTCAGTCCCTAAGAAAATAAAAAAAAATAGTGGTTGGCTATGATATGATTACTTTTTAAAAAATTTTTGTTTAATTTTTTATTTCTGGCTGCCCTAGGTCTTCACTGCTGTGCACAGGCTTTCTCTAGTTGTGGCGAGTGGGGGCTGTTCTCCAGTGGCGGTGCAGGCTTCTCACTGTGGCGGCCTCTCCGGGGGCTGCAGCAGCCGTGGCCCCCAGCTCCGGGACACGGGCTCGGCATTGTGCTGCACAGGCTTAGCTGCTCCAAGGCATGTGGAGTCTTCCTGACCCAGGGATTGAACCCGTGTCTCCTGCATTGGCAGGCAGATTCTTCACCACTGAGCCATCAGGGAAGCCCTCAAACAACTCGGAAGCTAAGTGAAGTCACCAAAAACAGAACAAAACAACAAGAAAAAAAGCCTGCCAATCTCTGCTGTCCCAGAGGAAGCAGATAACACAAATATAAATTACTTCTATGAAGTGAGTTATAATCTAAGAGATTAAGCATCAGAGAAACAAGATTTTTCAAACATCTTACTTAAAGTCCTTTGTGGGTTCAAAAACTGTCCATATTATGACCTATTATGTCCATAAGGACTGGGACTGTGGAGGGAGGCTATCTTTCAGCTCATTTCCAAGAAAAAAGACGTGCTGGCACAGACAGACCAGGGAATTTGCTTTGTTCCTGGCTTTTTATTGTTGTATCCTGTACCCTAATAGGGTATTTGCTTAAGGATAAAGACCCTTCTGGCTTTAGATCCAGCTTTTTCTACTGTGAATTCTAATCATGTGGATGCAGAATTGGATACATGAAATCCATGAAAATGTCTGCGATATCGTTAATCTAGGATCCTAAATTTTCTTGAAGGAACAGGTGAGAAGAGAGGCGAAGCCAGAAAAGGGAACACTCTGATGAAAGACTAAACAGCTTCAGTCCACAGCAAAACACAGCAAGAATTATTAAGAACCAATAAAGGCAAACTGATGGTAAAACAAGAGGGGGTCATTTTCCTTACACTGCAGGATTAGAATTTTAGGCGTTTGTGTCTTTACAGAAGATGACTGTGATGCTTAGATACATTCACTAAACTGATTCTCTGATTTAAAAATAAATATTAAAAGAGTCTCCATCATAAAGTTACCATGGAATGTTTACAATAAGGACTGCCAGCGTCCAGCACAGATTTTCAAAGGGGCATAATCTCATGATAGCCTATGAATATTTTCAAAATGGAAACAAATCTTTTCAACTAGATCTCTCACGATTTTAGTTTCAAGTTGCTTGAAGATGCTTAAACCAACAAGATAACAAGCTGCTTAGCTTAGCTTACTGCAAATAGCTTAAAATCAGTAGTATTCTTAAATATAGATTTTACTTATATAAAAATAATACATTTATTTAATAAATCCTTATTCAGGACCTACTATATGCAAAGCAATGTTCTAGACTGTGGGACTACAGCAGAGAATAAGAGAAAAATCCCCATTCTCATTGAGAATGTATTCTAATAAAGGAAGACGAGAAAAGGTGTAAGACAGACAAGAAACAAAATGACTGTAAATGTCGAATGTGTTGAATGATGCTAAGCACTACGGAGAAGATCAGGCAGGCGAGAGGTGTGCCTGGTGTGAGAAGTGACCAGAAGGACTCTGGCTTTCCCTGAACGCAAGAGCCACTGAAACGCTCTGAGCATCACGGTCTGGTTTGTATTTTAACTGCATCTCTCTGGGTGCTGTACAGATACTGAACAAGAGAGGCAAGGAAACGAGCTCAGAGCAGAAACACTGTAACCATCCAGAGAAGAGAGGCTGGTGGCTGGAACAGGTGGGGGCAGTGGAGATGGTGAAGGGATCAGATTCCAGATGTAATTTGAATATGGAACCATCACGGTTTGCTGATGTGGGCTGAGAAGAAGAAAAGCCAAGGATAATGCCATGTTTTGTGTGCATGTTATTATATATACATATTTTTTAATCACATAGTTCTTGTATCAAATAATAGTAGTCCCCTGCCTCATCTTTTCCAATCCCTAATTCCTGCATCACAAAGGCAAACACTTCAAATCGCTGAAGTGTTTCTTTTGGTATTTACTGCTGTATTTCTAAACACTACATTGATAGTGCTTGATTTTTTCTAGTTTTTATTTTCTTCTCTATCAGTACTACCAAAGTTGAAAATTTAATTTTCTTACACCTGCACACTGGCCTCACACAGCGCGCACACACCTTTATCTCCCCATTCCTTCCACAAATCACAATTTTCAGTGAACACATATTCAGGATATACTTCATAATGTCTACACAAATACTGTCCAAAACAGACTCAATATCCTTTTTCTTGGGTATTTCCCCCTAACTTTTTGCTTTTCTGTGTAACTATCAGTTCCTTCTCCAACAGTGAGACCACTCCCAACATGACCAAGGACAACAGGTCGTCTGGGCCCACTCTCTGCTGCAGTCTAGATCAGCTGCATTCCAGACCTCCTTGTACTGCTACGATCCTGGAGCATCCCTTCATGTTCCATCTGGGAATTCCTTCTGCCCTGCTCGTGTGCTGGATCTTATTTCCTGGATCTTTTGTGTTTGTTTCCCTCGTTTTGATGGAGCACATCCTCCAAGTAGACCCAATATAACATAGTGGAGGTGTTAAGACTCCCCAGGTTCAAATCCCTATCCTACCACCTACTCGTGGGACCTTGCAAACTTACTTCTCCATACCTCAGTTTCCCGAGTAGTAAAGCACAGAAATCATAGTATCACACTCATATTACATATGTGAGAGAAGAGAGAATACATACACTAAATTGCTACAAGGACCACATAGTAATAAACAGCATGTAAGTGTCAGCTATGATTATGACTTCAGAGAATGTGACACAAAACGTGACACAGAGTATGTGACACAAACTGAGCCAAATTTTTGCCACCACCTGTCTAAAAGTATCTTAAGCCTATATCACACTTGATTGACAGTTCATATAGGAACAGAATTCAGAGCTGGGAGACTGTTTTCCCTCACCATCACAAAGCCATTACTCCACTGACTTCTTGCTTCCAGTACTGGAAGGAGAAGTATGGGGGCATTTTAATTCCTGAGCCTTCGTAAGCAACCTGTTTTTCTCCAGAAGCACTGGATATCTCGTCTTTATCTTTGGCCCTCCAATATTTCATTATATTGAGCCCTCAATATGAGACTCTTCCTGCTCATTTGTCATGCATTCGGTGAGCTCTTCTTTCCATTCTAGAAACGCATGTCCTTCAGTTCTGGCAAGTACTTTGCGTTAATTCTTTATTTCCTATCCTCCAATTTCTCTGTTCTCCTTTCCCTAGAATTTGAATAGCTGCAGACCTTATAGGTTGACTCCTTTGTTCTCTTATTTTCTAAACTTCTGAGTTCTTCATCTTCTCTTTTATCTAATTTTTAAAATTTCTGCTGTAATGTTTAACTCCTGAGAGCTCAATTTGATTCTGACTCTTTTTGTACCTACTATTCTTATCTCATGGTTACAACTTTATCTAAGAATACTAGCTAAATTTTTAATTGAAGGGTTTTTTTCCTTTCCCCTATACTATAATTCCTTTGCTCTCAACTCCATTCTTACTATGTGGTTTGGTCTCGGTCTTTCATATTGGAAACTTCCCCAAACACCTGATGATCCTAAATGAACACGCGTATTTATGAGTAAGGCAATAAGGAGCTAAAGGAAAGTCACTGAAAGGGCAGGGCTTGTCAGTGGAACTTCGTTTCAGGACAATATGGCAGTAAGCCAGTTTTTCCAGTGTTGGAATGCTAAATGTTAGTAACTGCACAGCTTTTCTCTTGGGTCAGCTCAGAGAACTCTTCCATTCCTGAATTGGCAGTAAAAGCCCAGCTGCCAGCATCAGAGGAAGCAAAGGAGAAGAGGAAACAGAGGTCCCATTTGTCACACACACTCTCACTTGAATTGTCTGTTCTGAGTGAGTAGGGAATCTCACCTTGCCTGAGGGTAGACTCCCTCAGAAGGTTTGTGTTCTGCGAGAGGGGAGACAGGAATGGGGGCCCACCTGCACAGGGAGAAGGAACCTCTGGACAACTTACCCTAATTTCAACCACTCCTTCATACTGTGGGCCCACCCCACAGTACGGCCTTTCCTAAGTGCGAAGCGTCCCGCGCCCTGAGCCTTTCTGGAGTCTGCAGAATCCAGTCCCTCACTAGTGACTCCTTAGTGACTTTCTCCCCTCACAATATTAACGGAAGTGATTTTTTTAATCAGTATTGTTTCCAGGAAAATATTCTGCATTTTAAGAAGTCTGATGAACTGTACATTTAATCTGGTACACTTAAGATGGTACACTTAACTGTACACTTAAGATGATAAAGCTGAGACATTACTTTGCCAACAAAGGTCCATCTTGTCAAGGCTATGGTTTTTCCAGTAGTCATGTATGGATGTGAGAGTTGGACTGTGAAGAAAGCTGAGCGCAGAAGAATTGATGCTTTTGAACTGTGGTGTTGGAGAAGACTCTTGAGTGTCCCTTGGACTGCAAGGAGATCCAACCAGTCCATCCTAAAGGAAATCAGTCCTGAATAATCATTGGAAGGACTGATATTGAAGCTGAAACTCCAATACTTTAGCCACCTGAATGCGAAGAGCTGACTCACTGGAAGAGACCCTGATGCCGGGAAAGATTGAAGGCGGGAGGAGAAGGGGACGACAGAGGATGAGATGGTTGGATGGCATCTCTGACTCAATGGACATGAGTTTAAGTAAACTCCGGGAGTTGGTGACAGACAGGGAGGCCTCGCGTGCTGCAATCCATGTGGCCACAAAGAGTCGGACATGACTAAGGGACTGAACTGAACATGGCCCCACCCATCAGAGCAAGACACAGACTTCCCCACAGTCAGTCCCTCCCATGAGGAAGCTTCCACAAGCCTCTTATCCTTATCCATCAGAGGGCAGACAGAATAGAAACTACAATTACAGAAAACCAATCACTTGGATCACAAGCTTGTCTCACTCAAGAAG